CCTTGGCTGATTAAAAAACTAAGTAGAATTGCCCTGGTTGACATTTTAGTGAGAAATCACTGGGAATCCCAGAGTTTTAGACTAGAGTAGAATTTAAAAAATAAAAAATATGGAAGAAGGCAACAGTAAACCATTTCTCTAAGTCAAAGAAGTCAAGATGAATATGACCTTTGTGTCATCTAGTTCTGAGATCATAGATGAGGGGTTAGCTAAATGTCCTAATCTCCAGGGAATTTAGAAGTATAGGGCAAATATTTGTTTTATTTTTTTAGTTTCCTAACTGAAACACGACATATATGCAAGAGCTTTTGTGATAGCTTTCAATATCACTGCAGTTACATACTAACAAAGATGATTTCAAGATAGTTTGATCCCAAATCACCACAAGCATCATGATTGGCCAATGATATAGGCCATACAGGCTCCCAACACTCAACTAGCTTAAATTAACACCTTAATCATAGCAAATTAAATCATCTAAGGTAGGGGTGTCCAACTCAGTTTCATTGAGGGCTGCATCAGAGTTGTCCTTGACCTCAGGGGGCCCAGGGTGGGTGTGGCCAGGTTGGGCATGGTCAGCTTGACATCACTCGTGTTGGGATGCCTGTGGAGGCCCAAGCACTCTGCCAGCAAAATGGGCTCCCAAGCTCGTCTATGACAGCTTCTTGCAACCCTCTGCCAATGAAAATGGAGCTCGGGAGGGCCGCTCCAAAAATGGAAAGCTCTGTTTTCACTGGCAGAGGCACCGTGGGCCGATTCTTTGCTGTTTCCAGGGTGGCCCTGAGGGACAGATCTAAGCACTTCAAGGGCAGAATCTAGCCCTCATGCCTTGAGTTTAACACCCCTGATCAAGGCAGTCCCTGAAAGAGAATGTTAGACAGTAACCCAAAAGAGACCCATTTAAATGTCTCAATTAGTAGACATAATGGGAACAGCATCCTTGGCTGAGAAAATATGTCCCCACCACTGATAAAAGTGAGGAAGCCAGAAGTGCTCACAAGCGACTGTTGTAGTTTTTCAAATGGAATGCACTTTATGCTAAACTAGGCGGGTTCTTAGTCAATATGTGCTGACTTCTGGCCTCTGATGTATCCGGATTTTCATTGGTGATATTCAGTCTTTCAAATTTTTCACATATTAACATTTTGAAGTGTTTCCTAAAGACATACTTATATATCTTTCCTAGTAGAATAATTATATCACTTAATTGAAGATTAATAATGAATGTGAGGAATGGAAAAGATAAGAATTGTCTCTGTTTTTGTTTTACAGTGGTGATAAAAAGGAACCGAAATATCAAAGGCAAAAAACAACAGAGAGAAAGAAAGGAATTTCAGAATTGCAGTCGAGAAATCACACTTACAGTTTGTGTAGCTACAGCAAAATCAATTTTCAGTTTGTTTCTTTACCTTTATATTCTAAGACATTTGCATTTCACTTCAGGCCCATTGTGAGCTACAAAGGACAGTAAAAATCAATTTTTCTTTATAATTTTTTTCTTGTTCACACAGTACTTAGCAAAAATAGAAAGATTCACAGTATCAGGGTCTCCTTTTATAATTTTAAAAGTGAAGTAGCACTATTTTCTCCAAGAAAATCAGTTGCCACCACCAATTCCCTTTCGTTTGAAAACAGACCAAATGTCTGTTTATTACCATGTGTAATGAGCCACAAGAGTTTTAATTATTTTTGCATTAATACAACTGCTACTTATATTCAGCTGATACTATATTTACATTCATATGTTGGTCAATAGGGATAAAGAGTACTTGGGTCTATCTGATATGTTTGAACACTGGGTACATAAAAAGAGGTGTAGGGAAAAAATCAGTAGAGGAAACAAGGACTAGGATAATTTTGCCTCAAACATTGAAGTGTAGTTTGTTTTAAACTTTATACTTTTCAATTATTATTCATTTCCTATAATTGGAAGTAGACTTTTTCTTAGTCATTATTATTTGCATAACAATTATTGTATGTGTTGGATGCCTGCACACCATTTATTGGGGGACATTTTTAATTTACGTTTTCATTGATTTTTTTAAGACAAGTAAGCAGAACTCCCTCACAGATAATAAGACCATGAATCTGGAAAAGTATAATCCATTACCTAACAGAGTGGAAATCAAAATTTCTAGTCTGGAAGAAGTATTGTTAGTGATACCTAGTTATTAAAGGAAAATTGAAATCTTTTAAGAAATTAACCCCTTTTCCTCTAAACCCTGAGTGCATTCTGTTGCTATCTCTCCAAAACATCCAGTTTATTTAAATTTGTTTTACATAAACAATGAATCTCTGTTTATTAATATTTTTTAATAAAGTTTTATTTGGGTTTTCACAAACAAAATACAAGTTTCTTTTTTGAAAATAGCATGGTCCCGGGTTGAACTTCTTTATACAGACACAAAACTCAATTTCATGCTCCTTTTTGTATTCTATTCCATATCTTATACTATTTTACATTTTCTATATAGTTTTTCCCCTCTTTTAATTTTCTCAATTTTATTTTGATTATCTCATCTCAATTCAAATCATTATATTTATACTTTTGTCTGTTCTGTTTCAATTTCATATTATCTTTTCTCATTAAACAAATTTTCTCCTGTAGTTACTAATTGGAGTATGACACCTTTATATCTTTTAATTACATCCATTCAACTCTTATTTAAACTTCAATATATACCTTAAGTTTATGACCTTCAATATAATACATAACTTCCAATCGAATTCTGCTTGGCACATTCTTATAATACACACTATATTCTTTTTTTTAAAAGAAGAAAGATTATAAATATATGTAATTATAAACCCTCATTCCATTCCAGTTCAGTTCTATCATTAATAATCATTAAAATCTTAACAGCTTTAACACTTCTTTTCAATTAAATATCATACTTCCTTAAAAACACATATAATAATTAATTTTTCCCTTATTTCTCTTCACATATATTTTATAAATCATTAAATATACCTTTTGTTACATTCATTTATTGACAAGCATTCCACTGAATTACGATAGCTATTTTATCAGACATTTTAATCATACATTGTTTCATATTTTCTAAAATTATTTCTGTTTCTAATATAACCATACTATCTTATGTACCTTTGCAGAATCCCTTTTTCCATTAAGTTTTCACCCATTATCTCTAAACAGACCCTGTTTCTCTATATTTTGCTTCTGTCCTTTATAACTTCTTTTCCTTTCTTTCTTCCCTCTCATCTTCTCCCTCCCCTTTTTACCCCCTTGTCTCTCTACTTCTAATTCTCTCTTCTGCATTTCCCTCTTCTGTTGCTTTCTGATTTTATACTTATTTTTCACTCTATTTTTTTTTTTTTGGAGTTGTTTTTCCCAATCTTAAACTTTCCATTCTCTTTCTCCCCTTTCCCTTTCCCCCCCCCCATCTAAGATTACTTGTTCATTAAAGATGGCTTCTTCTTTGTCACAATCTTCTTGTTCTGCAGGCATTTCTTGTTGTTTCTCATAATTCCAAATCTCCATTTCTAAAAACTGAAATACGAAGCCAAAAAAAACTCTCCCTTCTTGTGCATCTTCTTTGTACTTTTTAAGTTCCATTTTCAGTTCTTCTAAAAGTGGAGCCATTTTAAAAAGTTTTAAACAACCACCTGATTGATTTTAGTCATTCAAAACAATAACCAAGAATCCAGAAATCTCAATACACTCAATACATTACATTTAAAACGTCCTCCATAAGAGCTCCATTTTAACAGGCTTGTTAAAAGACAATCATGTTGAGGCTAATCTAGCTTCTTATTGTTCCACATAATAGGACCATTACTAAGAAACATCTTCTCCTGCTCTCAGTGATGGGGAATGTCCAAAAAATTATTTTGAGATGTTCTTATCAAAAGTGTTGAACTCTCTGTAGGCATCTGCACATAATTTAATTTCATATAATTTAAATTCATGTAACCAGCATTTAAATTACGCCAAGAAACATATTGGCAATGAATGAAGGGCTCAAAGAGGAAGATATAATATAATCAGGGGTGTCAAACTCAATTTCATTGACAGCCACATCAGGGTTGTGTTTGACCTTGGGGGGGGCATGGCCAGCTCGATGTCAGTTATCGAGGCTCTGGTTTCGGTCATGATGGCCCTCCAAGGCTCCATTTTCAGCTGTGATGGCCTCCTTCAGCCTCTGCCAGCAAAATCTGAGCTCAGGGAAGCCACGCCCGGGTTCTGTTTTTGGCTGTGACGGCCTCCTGCAGCCCTCTTGCCAGCAAAAAGGGAGTTTGGAATGGCTCTCAAGCTCCCTTTTAACTCCCAAGCTCCCTTTTTGCTGGCATAGGCACTGTGGGTCAGTCCTTCACTGTTGCCAGGATGGGCCAGCGGACCAGATCTAAGCATCCAATGGGCTGGATCCGGCCCCCAGGCCTTGAGTTTGATACCTCTGATATAATCCTATATAATATAATATAATATGCTCATGATATCTAGTGCCAATTAACACATGGCTACCCCAAGTTTCTAGGCAACCAATGTGTACAATTCATTGCAGAATCTAACTTGTTGGTAAAGAAAGAGCATGGATTATTCTCACAAGCATTTCTCTTCAGGGAGGCATGGTACTCAATGGATGTAACTTGGGGAAGAAAATAAGTATGCAGAATAAGTTGCAGAAGTACATGCATACAGCCTCAAAATCTAAAGCTCATCTGAAAGAGCTTCTCAGTTGTCAGAATCTGAAGGAGCAAACTAAGGCATAGTCTGAGTCACACTGAGGATCAAAGCATTGTAGCAAGGGCATCAGCTGGTCCCAGTCAAAAGGGTATGAAACTTCAATGAGAAGAGTTTCATGAAGCAAATGACAGAGTTTTGAGTAAGCAAAGCAATTGTTCCTAACTGAAACACTGTTGGGTAACATCTATATATTGGTAATACCACACCCGCTATAAAATGAATGACCTCTCCTGGTGCCTCCTGTGGCTTCATTACTGTTACTCCCTTCTTAGTTCCATGAATTTTGTAAAGAGAGAAAGAAACCCAGTTCTGCAACAGTCACTGACAAGAGGAAATGGGAAGAATTTTTCCCATCCAGAACTAACAACTGGAATTGTCCACCAAAGAAGAACTAGACACGTTGGAACATAGTACCAACATAGCACCCCAATTCCTAAGTCCCACAGACAGTTCAAAAGGACACTGTGGCTGATGGTACTGAAAGCAGCAGTTCTATGCAAGCCTGAGAGTGATGCAAACAGAAAAGCAATTAAAAGTGGGAGTTCATGTTGTAAATCTTCCACTAGTAGCTGAGGGAAAGCTAATGGCTCGTAATTTAGACAGCAAGTAACACAGATTTGGGGAGTTCAAAGAGAGGTTGCTTATCTCATACATTGCTGCTAGCTGCTACTGAAGAATTCAGAAGCTTGAAATCTGAGGAAAATCTAAGACTTCTGTAGGAGTAATCATTGAATAATAGGAAGAACCTGGGCAAGGCTGTCATAGGAACAAAGATCAGAAAATAGCAGCGTTGTTTTCAGTAAAGGAAAGAAATCTAAATCTTGTATTTGTTTCATTTTATAGAAGTTAATGCCCCCTTCTTATGAGCAGCCATGCTGATCTCTGCTGTAGAACCTTTTTCAGTAGCATGGTTAGGATTTGCAGGCTCTCATTTCCTACTATTGAAATTGGTGGCCATCTACCAAGTCAAATCGATCACTCGGGTGGCTGACTTTATGTCTTCAGCCTTGGAATCAGGATAACTGGAGGAGTTTAAAGCACTCAGAGTTCTAATAGAAGCAGAAGGAGTGTGCTCCTCTGTCAAAGTCAGTGGCCTTCAACCTTTTGGTCACCAGGAACCGGTTCCCTGGAGAGAGGTTTTTCCATGGACTAGAGGGGACATGATTTTATATGCTGCCTGCATCCTGGAGATGGGGCTCTGCTTGTTTGTGTGGTTCAGTTTCTGGCATGCTATAGACTGGTGCCAGTCCATGGACTGGGGGCTGGGGACCCCTGGCCTAAGTCACAATAAAGGTGATCAACCAATACAATAGGTTTGGTCTCCATGTTATGTCATGTCTACCTTAAAATATCTACTTCTATAGTCCTGAGAAGTGGACTCACCATGAGTTTGAAAGAATCTCTCTGCATTCAAATACAGGAGACACATGATAGCCATTGTTCATTTTGTTTATGTACCAGTTTTGGGAAGGGGGTCAAAAAAGGCAAGATGGTAGCCAGGGTAGCTTGATCAAAGCCCCAGCCCTGTTGTATATGTGTTGACAGTGCATTCATCTACTAAAGGCCTGGCTTTGACCATGTTGCCTGGATTATCATCTTGCGGTTTTTGTTCTTTCTGCCAGTGCAAGTATTATACAATATTGATTATTTACAAAATTAATAATGAAATTCTGGTAAAAAAAATCCCCACACAACATAAAATATACTAAAGTTTGAGGATAAATGAACAAGCTTGGGAAATAAAGAACATTTTTGCTTGTCAGTGAGAATAATGTTGGGTTTACATAACCCTGCCTAGGGAGAAAATTGCAAAACTGGCCTAACTCTGCTGAAAAGAACCTCTGTTGATATAAGTCTAGAGTTTATAAATGAGTTTATAAAAAGAGACTATGATGATGATGATATCCATTCAGTTGTGTCCAATTCTTGGTGATTCTATAGGTCCACATCTTCTGATCTTGTACTGTTTCTTTGAGTTTTCCTATGCTCTGGCTGGTGTCAGCTTTGATGGCGGTCTATAAATTAATTCTGATTAATTCCTTAGTCCTTTTTGGGACAATGGGGAAAAAGGTTTCTCTTGGAGTATGGTAAAACATGTCCATGCAACATTTTATTCCAGAGTACCCTGCAAGTCTACTTGTAACAGGATGTTTTGTGTGTGTGTGTGGGGGGGGAGACAAAAGGGAAGAAAAGGAAAATAAAATTTTGGCCCTTGATATTTAGAGGAAAACTCCCTAGCCTATATTGTAAAATTTGTGTAACTCTAAAGTGCACATATTTCCCTATTTGTATTCTGAGGAATACTAGTGATACGCCAGAAGCTTCTCTGGAAATCACATATGTGTGTGAGTGTGTGTATATGTGTTACTGGCAAAATATCTAAGTACAGAATAATGGCATATTCAAGGATAGACCCCAAAATATACAACTAAGTCTTCAATTTTCTATTTTGTGCTTCAAGTTTTTAAAAATGCTAATTTTATGTCACATTAGACTATGCATGTGCAATTTGCTTTCTTAGCCTTACTAGGAAGCCATAAAATATCCAGTTTTGACCTCTGACCTTCATCTCTGTTTATATTTTCTCTTGGTTGCATTTTATTTAGACCGTCAGGATTTCACTCTTTTTCTGTTTGTCACACATGGACACACAAATATGTAGACAAAGTTAGATGTCATAGTTTTAATAGTCAGAGGGTATGGGCTAAAGAAGACCATGTCTTAATGTTTGGTTGTCAATGTCATAGTCTTATTAAGAAGCATTTTTTCTCTTATTCCCCATCCCCCAGGAAAAGACCTGGTTTTCCATGCTGTACTTTTTATTGTTTCAAAGGGGGAATTCCCAATCAGTTTTAAGGAATGCGGGGCACTGGTTTTATCGGACCAACCCATTTGCCATGGTAGTAACTCTGCAGATACTCAGGCAGAGAGAGTGCCTTTTAGATATTTGTACCCTGATCCTTTTTCACTGGAATGTATCTGAGACTCATGGGATGCAAGCCACAAATTCTGTCACTGAACTACTTTATGCATGGTCTCTCTGCCTCTATGATTATCCCATTGCCTGCTCCTGATTGGAAACTGACTTCTCTACTTGGCTGCTTAAACTCGGGTAAAGAGTTGCTGCAAAAGCTGGAACAAATCCTTTTTGCATGATGGTTTTGAAAAACTATCTTCCAGATGATAGGGTATATTGAAAAATATGAAATTATTATTGTGGCTGAAGAAGATTATTATACTACTATAGTCAGCATGAGCTGGAAAGAACAGTGAGTTCCAACCCTGGTAAATAGCTGTGGAATTATTTGGACTTTTTGTCTATCCCATGGATATATGAATTTTAATGTTCTAGACTTCTAGTCCTCAGTATGTATTCAGTAATATAATTTTTTTCATTTGTGAAATGTAATACAAAGAGGTATGAACACAATTGGATGAGAGATCAGAGAAATACTTGTAAAAAAGCAGTAAGTGTAGACATAGAATTGTTACTATTGCTATATATAACCCAATTATTTTGAAGGCATATTGAGTTAAATAATTTTTGGATAGTCATTTTTCTTAACTATGTAGGCAAACTGCATTCCTTGAGTAGATCAATACCCTATTTTGTTCAATTTTCCTGTTTCCAACAATAGCCAATCAGATATTGTTATATTAAGGACTTCTTCCATTTTGCTTAATGACTTTCATCAGTGCCGGTTCACATAGACACATTTGTCACTTGATGATTACAGTATGACATGATTGTGTGAAAAGTGAATTTCATGATGGATTATGGTCCTTAGTTAACTTTGAACACAGAAGGCTTTTTTGGAGAAGACTGCTCACACATTCAGTTGTGACGGTCCAAGTAATGTCATAAAGTCATGAACAGTGGCTTAATAGATGAAATTTCAGCTTCCTTAGAGGTCCATTTTCCTGATTTTTCCAATAGCATTTTCAAAAAATGCCCTGAGCTAAGGACGCCAGAAGAAAAAGGTGAATATTGTTTTATTAGTACTAGGAGAGTTGACCAACAATCATTATGCTATATGCTCCTCGCCTCCAGTTTGCATATTCCTAGGTAATGCCAGATTATGCTAGTGATGTTTTAATTGCAAAATAGGAGACATTTTGTAGTACATTTTCTGTGATTAATAGAATAAGGGGTTAGATTTTGCTCCTTAAAACAATTTCCAATTCCTCATAAAAGTCATTCATGGACCCAAGATGGTTCAGCTCCATGCTTAATGACCTCATAAGCACATCCTCCCATAATCTTCAATGAGACAGATAGACTGACACAGACAGACAGATACATGTATGTATTGGATGATAAAGAGTTATGACATATAATACATGTTTGCACTGAGCTGCTGGCATTGTAAGAAGTATTAAAACCTTGACTTAAACCAGAAGTGTGCAACACTTTATAGTACCACAACCTCTAAAATAATAAACAATTTTGGTCCACCAACCCCCTATCAATGCAATAAATAATTTCATGACAAATGGGCCTAGGCAACAAATGACTACACAGGTTACTTTTAATAATTAAACTTTATTCTCAAACTTTTGCAGTATCACAATTGCCTCCTTTGGGAATAACAGGATGTTTCATTATTTTTATCATATTGTTTATGTTTTTTCTGTAAATCACTGAGACTGTTAATTGAAATCAATGGTATATAAGTAAAATAAATAAACAAATCCCAGAATAACATTTGATAATACTTGCATTTTGCCCTGTACGTATGTACTTACAGAATTGTGCAAGCCGTGGTATTCCCTGTGGCAATCTATGGAAGCAAAAGTTGGGTTTTGAAGAAACAAGATAGAAAGAGTATTGATGCCCTTGAACCTTCGTGTTTGAAAAGACTCCTGAGAATACTATGGACAGCCAGGAAAACAAATTAATGGATCAAGGCATAAATGACCAGGCTCAAATTATCCTACTTCATTAGATCAGGGGTGTCAAACTCAAGGTCTGGGGGCTTAAATCTGTCCCATGAGGCTGGCCTGAAAATATCAAAGGACCGGCTCACAGTGCCTCTGCCGGCCAAAACGGGCTGTGCAGAGACCCTGCGTGGCCCCCACACAGCCCGTTTTTGGCCTCCTCAGCCTTCTGCAGCACTCTGCTGGCCAAAATGGGCTGCACAGTGGCCCCACGAGGCCTCTGCGGCCCATTTTCAACCGGCAGAGTGCTGCAAGAAGACTGGATTGGACTGGATTACAATTATGTGGTTTCAAGTAAGTGCCATCTGGATAGATAATAAGCAACATCCTACGTTAATACTACAGTTTAATGTCATATTTTACATACT